TATCTCCGAGTCGTCCGTCTTGTCGTGGTTCATGCTGTCGTCATCGACGTCTATGTTCTGAGAGGAATTACCGTTGTCGTCGTCAAAAACCACTCGTCTTGTTGACCGTGATACTGACGAACTCCGTGATACTATTGATCGCGCTGGCGTGTTAATAGGAATCGTTCGTGTAGCTGGCGCTGCCGGAGGTGGTCCTCAGCCGTCGCCGTGTCCTGCCTCTATCGATGAGATGTCGTCCGGAATGGCGGCGTCCGAGAGCTCCTGCCCGCGGGCGCTAGCGGCGCTGGAGGTGGAGCAGGAGGTCCAGGAGGTGATGTCGTGAGTGGTTGAAGCTCATCCAGTGGTGGTCGTCCTGCTGGCGCTCGCATCGCTGGCGCCGTCGGAGGCGCCGGTGGTCCTTGAGAAGGCCGAGGTGGATCATCAGGTGGAAATCCGACGTCATCTGGTGGTAGTTGCAGTCCTCCGCTGTCGTCAGGATGTATGTCGATGCCGGATATGTCGCCGAAGTCGGGCACTCGGTATTCTCTGATGCCCTCGTCTTCCTCGAACTTCTCGCAGGAGTGAAATAGTACCGCGGTCAGGTCGGCATCGTCGGAAATGGGCAATTGCTTCTTAATGTCCTAGATCTGTTTGCTGGGATCGATGTCTCTGATCGCATATGTCTTCCGATTGCCTATTGACCACGTCACTTGTCGTCCATATCGTGCGCCGGTGATAGATACAACTTCTTGACGCATCTGCCGTAGCATATTCCATCGATAAAGAAACTCCATGCCTTCTCGCAGAACTGTTTCGCCAAGGTCCATATTCGTGGCGGTGAGGTCGTCAAACTTGGCGGCGATGGACGTCTGATGCCACCTTGACCGACAATCGCCCCGCACAGGCAGACCTTGAACGGCATCTGGCCTTCTATCATGTCCAGGAAGTCGCGGCGATCCTCGAGGACATGGATGGTCGTGAAGACTGAGAAGGGAATGTCCTGCTGCTCGGTAATCATGGCCATGATGGTCCGATGCAGCCGGATGTGCCTCAGAGGCACTATGTACGGATATCCGTTCCACATCACGATGGCGCCTGACGGTTTCAAATGAAGAAGGTCGCAGGGTCCTCGCCAGCCTTCCTGGCCTTTGTGATCGGGTGTTCTGTAGAGGTCGCCCTTGTCACCCACTTTGATCTTGGCCAGGCCCAGCTGTCTCGGCCTTGCCCGATTCGCCATCGCGACCCTTTCCTCCGCGATCGTGCGAAGAACGTTCTTGATACGCATCCTGACGTTCGCTTCGAAGGCGTCGGGCGTCGTCACCAGAGCCCCTCCGCAGGCCGCAGTGCTCGCGCTGTCCAGCTCGAAGAAGTCTCTCGGAGTGTAACCCAATAAGGCGTTGCGTGGCGTAGAACGTCCATATGTAAGAAGGTGATTATGAACCTGCACTGCCTCATAGATCAAACCTTCGTCGGAGATCGGAATACCTTCCTGGACCGCGTCCACCTTGTTCTTGAGGGCGATGCTCTTCGTCATCCCGACGTGGCCCTCGATGAGACCCGTTGTCGCACTCTGGCCTCTGGCGGGGTCTGCTCCGGCGAAATCCCGCTTGATGTCGTAGCGACCCATGGTGGTGCCGACAAGGTCACCGGTGAGAGCGCCTTCCTGGTCGGAGACGAGGAAGGTTGGTGGGCCGAAGATGCGCACCCATGTCTCTACGAATGCTGATAATAATGAAGGTGCCGTCTTGTATTTCACCCACGCCACCTGATGTGCTCATCTGTGAGATGGAGCCAGACTTTATCCCAGAAGAAGAATAGATCTCCTTGCAATCTCTGGTTGAAAGGTGTCGTGGTATTGGCTTTCACCGAGGGCCCGGTCAAAGGCCGGGCGAATCTGTGGCATCCGTCGCAGAGTTCATCGGGCATTCGCCAGCATAAAATCAATGTCTTTGTCCAGCCCAAGGTGCTTCAGTAACTGCGCCATCTCGGCCGGAGAGGCACGCCAAAACTTATGGTGGAAGCCAAGCAGTAATGAAAGTCGTCCTTGTTCCAATGCGCATTCCTCCAGCTGTTCCTTGAATCGTCCCAGGTCGAAGTTCGGCTGATTCGTGATCTTTTTATCGGGCCGATCTTTAGAGATACCCGGTGCTTCGTGGTCCGCGGTCGCGCCCCCAATGTCTTTTTCAGGAGATTCAGGATGTTGCGCTTGTTCGGGCTCTTGCATTAGGTCGGGACTGCTGGCAGGTCGAGGTGCTGGATCGGGAGGCGGAATGGCTTCTGGTTGTGCTTCGGCTGCCGGTGGTCCTAGTCCAGGTGGAGGTTCTGGTGGTGCAGGTGCCGGTGGGGCAGCTGGTGCTGGTTCACGGTCGGGGGCAAGCCTGCATCCTTTCGTCCGCGCGTGAGGTACTTCAGCCTTGTCGCCGTGCTTGCACCGAGGGCATGCCCAGAACTGGTCCAAGATGGGAACCCTCTGGTCGGTGATCATTTTGACCATGTCTCGCAGGAGTTGCTGACATAGTCGATCCGGATACACCTGAGCTCTCGCGGCACGACAAACACCTTTGCACTGTCCGACAAGCCATGAGGTCGCGTGCAATGACAATGTTGAGCGAGACGGCGGCACCTGAAGCTCCCAACGAACATGGTTATCCTCCTTATCGGGGATCCCTCCTCATCTTGGACGAATATCATTTTCAGTGGAGGCTCGGACCATATGCCACTGCTGTGAGGGTTCTCGACCAAGTACGCAATCGAACATCCTCGAGGTCTCTCGACACTCGTTGCGAATCCAAGTAAGCAACGGTGCGTCCCGTTCCCGGTTGATCTTCTTCTTCTCGGAATTGGCTGTCTCGCTAGCGATGGACCACGGCGCGCATTCTGGCGCGAACAACTTGATCCGAACTCGTATCTTCTTGCGGAAGGAGGCGATCAGATGCTGATGTTCGGGTCGCCGGAGATCCAATCCGAAACTGAGGCCCGTCGGGAATGCCACGGTACGATTTGAGCGGAATCCCCAGGATGTCAATTTACTGCTTCCTGCCATGTGTTCTTGAAAACCCACCTCTCTGATGTCGTTCTGGACGAGGTGCTCGATAAAACGCTCGCAGTTGTCTGGCGTGATGACAGGGAGCTGAGATTTGGTATAGAATCTCTCTGGTATTCCGACGTAGGATTTACCGAACTTTTCCTGGTCGTGCTTCTCCAAATCGATCGGGATGAGATCCTGGTAGTGCTTGTGATCCTTGAAGCTGGCCCATGTCTTGTAGAAGTGCTGGTGCTTGGTGATATTGTACTTTGTGGCAAACTCTTGCTGCCCGCAAATATTCCAGGATTCGATGGTATTTCTTGCTGCGTCGTCGGCTTTGTTGTTGGAGTCGGCAGGGTGTCTGAGGATGGTCTCGACATGGTCGAAGTATGTCTCAGTGCCAAATCGCCCTCAGTGACCAATGATGCTGTGCTTGATTGTTCTTGCGTAAATTGTCTTACTTCGTCTCGACGTGATTGCAGCTCATTCTTCATCGTGTCCGTAATCTTCGCACCGGCGTGGTTTTCCACGGGCTGTGAGATCATTTCGTCATTGACAGCAGTCTTGGGATGAAAGCTTGGTGGGCGGTGCATTTTACCTTGGTTCAATTCATTGCCCGCCTCCCAGTCCACGGCGTTGAAGGCTGCCAGGTACTTCTTGAGCTCATTGTGTAGGTATTTCTGGCCCACCTCCTCGGGATTGTCACAGTTGTCGATCGGGGTCATATAGTGGCCCGAGTCGGTGTACAAGAGACGGATGTACATTGGCTTCTTCTGATGCACGCCGTATCCATTGCAAGGGCAAAGTGCCGGAACGCCGCCCATGAATGGTAAGACGTTCGCAAACATTGAGGCCTTGAACTTGATGGAGGACTCCAGCGGGAATAGGCCAGGACAGAAGGATCCAAAGCCCCCGATAAGATCTCCTGCGAAAGTCGCGTTCTCGAGCACAGGTATACCCAAGGGTACCTTGGATTTGCCAGGGCCTGGGGTAGGCGCTCCGTCTATACCTGTGAACTTGGCTGTCGCGGGCACGGGGTCGTAGCTGATGCCGAGGGGGCCCAGCACGTCCTCGCAGAATTCCAGGAGGGCGTCTGTGCCCATGATGCCGGATGCTGCCCCAGGATCATACAGTAGTCCGTGTCGTTTCTGGCCTCTGACGGCGTGGAAGGTGCCTCCCGTCGCCCCCGCGGGGTGCATCGGTCGAACATAGAAGTCAAGTCCTCCTGGCACGACGCCCCCCGGTAATCGTCGCTGTCGGCGGCTCCGAAAGTGATGTCCAGGGGTGCCGAAGTCAACTCCTCGACTGGAGGTTGAAACTGATGATGATACGTCGTCGTCCATGGTCGAAGTAGTGGCGACTCTCGGTGCTGGCGCTGTCGCCGTCGCTTCCTGCTGGGGAGATTCTGCGCCCGCAACGGCAATCCACGAGCCCGATGATCCAGATGGCATAGGTGCTGGTACTCCATGAAGTCGTCGCTGTACTGGTGAATTTTCGTCGTCCTCGTACAAAATCCGAAAATCGGCCCCTCTTCTCACGGGCGCCCCTGTCCGCGTGAAGCCAGGGTAGGCATTGCCAGGTGCTTCGTCGATATTCGGGAAGTTGCTGCTGATGCCACGAGAAGTGTTGACGAATCCTTGGGAGTGCCAATCATCGTTCTCGTCCTCGTCGCAATCACCGCCATAGTGTTGTCGCCGTCCTGCACCTCGACCTTTCTCGCCTTCACGCTTGCCTTTGCCCCCTTGATTTCGGTCTCGTCGGGGTTCCCACCCGCGGCGATTGCCGCCTTTCCTGGCCCCTTTTTTGCCGTTATTCTCACTCTCGCCCTTGTCGGTGTCTCTGTTGCCGTCGCCTCTGCCGGATGGTGAACCTTTATCCTGTCGACGTTCCCCTGGCGGCCCGTTGTCTTCGCTGTCGCTTTTGGCCGGGCAATCAGGTGCACTGCGCCATTTAGAACCGCATTTAGAACATCCACGTCCTTCACCTATGCCACGTCCTTTACTTCCTTTGCTGCCCTTGTAGGCGCACGCGCCCGGCGAGTGATCATCCCGCTGGTCTCCGCGACTGCCCCAACTTGAGCTATTCCCACCGTTGCTGCTCCAGCCCTCGCCGCCCCAGTTGACCTCGCACTCGCCCCAGTCGTCGTCGTGCCAGTCGTCGTCGTCGCAACAGTACTCCTCGCCGTAGAAGCCGCCGAAGTCGCCGGCGCGGTTCTTGGCTTGGTCTGCCTTAACCATTCGGCCGAGCAGGCCCTTTATCTCACCGCATCTGTTCAAGTCTCCGTCGACCTTCAACTTGACGCCCTCTATCTCACGCTGAGGTAGTTCGCTTCCTGACAGGAGGAGGTGAGATCGCCCTGCCGCGTTGACCTCCAGACCTGCTGTCTCCGAGGCCTCGTCGTGGGCCACCTCGAAGGCCGCGATATACTGAGCTAAGTCTCGGGGGCCTCGTCGGAAAGCGAAGAATTTGCCTGGGTGCATCGTCGCATTGCCCCGCTCATGAAGGCCGTATTCTTGGCCAAGCCGTCGCGTGAACTGGGCCAGTCCACTCGGTTCTGCATCCACTCCTCGTTGATGGTCCGCTGCAACGGCTGGGAGAGCGAACGCATTCTCTCCCACGAAGCTCATGCCGTCTCGCTCCACGGTAAACCGAAGAGCTTGCTTCCTGACGCCGCCCTGGAGCCTGCTCAGAACCAGGACCGCCGCGATCGACTCGTCTGCTTCGTTCTCCGTGCGCCACCAGATCGACAGGTTCTGGAGCTACTTCCTCACCGAATATGGCTGCAGGCCAGGTTTCCATCCTGGTGGCGCGTTCCTCGTCGACTCTTCTAGTGCCAATGTTCCGCCCCATGGTGTCGTCATCTCTGATGTGTGATGTTCGTGATGCTGTGCCTGCTGACTGGTTAAACCAAATAGAAGCTGATGAACAGGCTGATGTGTTCGCTGACTTGTCAGACCAAATAGAAACTGATGATCGAGCTGATGTGTTTGCTGACAGGTTAAACCAAAGACGATCAGATGATTAAGCTGAATAGCCCTGAGAAGGGCGCCTCTGGGTCCACGTGCTGGTGCCCGTCGATGTTCTGAACCTCCTCGATATACTAGATCTCGTAGGTTCTCAGATTTCGCGTATGTGTACTGAACCTTGAATGTCTTCTGAACCGCGTAGGTGTTCTGATCCGCGTACGTGTACTGAACCTGGTATATTTTCTGAACCTCGTAGGTGTCCTGATCCGCGTGCGTGTGCTGAACCTGGTATGTCTTCTGAACCTCGTATGTGTTCTGAACCTCGTATATGTGCTGATCCTCGATGAAGCAAGTCTGCGCTTCTAGGTCCCTCTGAACATACTATTAGTTCAGGGGCGCGTTGCTCTGCAACGCGAAGATCTCGAACTTCGTCGAGTCGCTGTTGATCGTCACGATCTCTTCGAACCTCTCGGTGTCGCATATCGCGCCGGCGATGTCTTGCCTGTGGCGCGGCGCGCGCGGGGGCTGGAAGCTCCGCTACCAGAGCAGAGATCCTTATCGTCCTTGAGCCAGTGGTGCCGGATCATGATGCATCTCTGTCTCTGACCCTACTCACACTAAACCCGAATCTTCGCTCCCCTCCTCCCCTCCTCCCCTCCTCCCCTCCTCCCCTCCTCCCCTCCTCCTCCCTCCTCGCCCTCCTCCCTCCTCCCTCCTCCCTCCTCCCTCCTCCCTCCTCCCTCCTCCCTCCTCCCCTCCTCCCTCCTCCCCTCCCCTCCCCCCTCCCCCTCCTCCCCTCCTCCTCCTCTACCCTCCTCCCTCCTCCCTCCTCCCTCCTCCCTCCTCCCTCCTCCCTCTCCCTCCTCCCTCCCCCCTCCCCCCCTCCTCCCTCCTCCTCCTCCCTCCCCCCTCCTCCCTCCCCTCCTCCTCTCCCTCCTCCCTCCCCCCTCCCCCTCCTCCCCCCTCGCTCCCTCCTGCCCCCTCCCCCCCCCCCCGCCCCCCCTCCCCCCCTCCCCCCCCCCCTTCCCCCCTCCCCCCTCCCCCTGTGCTGCTTAGATCCGGTCTTGATATCCGGTGGCCGCCCCGAAAAGTAGAAAAGCGCGAAAAGCGCGAAAAGTAGAAAAGCGCGAAAAACGCGAAAAGTGCGAAAAGTAGAAAAATGCGAAAAAGTGCGAAAAGTGCGAGAAGTACGAAAAGCGCGAAAAGTGCGAAAAGTGCGAGAAGTACGAAAAGCGCGAAAAGTAGAACAGTGCGAAGAGTGCGTATAGTTGCGCGAAACATTTGAAACGCACTCGAAAGTAGAAAAGCGCGAAAAGTGCGAAAAACGAGAGAAGAGCGAAAATAGATACAGCGATGCGCATAAGAGGCCGAAGAGCGCGAAGTGTTCGAATGGCGCGCGAAAAGTGCAACAAAAAGCACGAAACGCGCAACAAACTCGAACAGTTTAGACAACAAGGCGCCGTCGGTGGAGAAAAGCGAGAACAGCGAAACAAATGTGAAACTACGAAGACACAGTAACACGACAATCGG